GGAGTCCATATATTAACAGGCAAAATGGCTACCAAAAACCATTCTAAAGCCGGCCACTCATGTTACAATCTTCTTTCTATTCTATTCTCACAATCTTCTTTCTATTCTCTAACATACATATAGTGTGAGGGCCTACTTGAGGGAATATTAATTGAGTGATGCATTGGTATAGCTGAGATTGTGGCCAACCTAAAACTGATCTCTCAAAACCTAGAAACACAAATATTACATACACTATATTGCCACAAGTATTGGGACATCTATTATGACATTCAACATGGGGGGAGCTGAAAGAAAGCCTCTGACACCCCCGGAAGCATCAGAACTGCATTATAGAAGCCTTATTTGCAGTACACCATAAGCACAACATAAAAGAAAAGAGCCTGCCACAACTATTGTATCACGGGTAGCATTATTAAACATCTTCGTACACAGGGTTGTGACAGTGACTCCATCTGTAGAAAACCTACATACTAAATTTATTACACGTGTGTATCTCTCTCTCTCTCTCTCTCTCTCTCTCTCATATATATATATATATTTATTTATATATATATTTAGAATGAAATACACACACACTATATTGCCAAAGTATTGGGACGCTGGCCTTTACACGCACATGAACTTTAATGGCATCCCACAGCTTCAACTCTTCTGGGGAGACGTCCACAAGGTTAAGGGGTGTGTCTATGGGAATGTTGGACCATTTGTGAGGTCAGGTACTGATGTTGGAGGAGAAGGCCGGGCTCGCAGTCTCCGCTCTAATTCCTCCCAAAGGTGTTCTATCGGGTTGAGGTCAGGACTCTGTGCAGGACAGTCAAGTTCTTCCAGTCCAACCTCTCATCCATGTCTTTATGGACCTTGCTTTGTGCACAGGTGCGCAGCCATGTTGGAACAGGAAGGGGCCATCACCAAACTCCTCCCACACAGTGGGGAGCATGAAATTGTCCGAAATGTCTTGGTATGCCGATTCCTTAACAGTGTCCTTCACTGGAACGAAGGGGCCAAGCCCAACCCCTGAAAAACAACCCCACACCATAATCCCCCCTCCACCAAACTACACTTGGCACAATGCAGTCAGGCAATTACCGTTCTGGGAACCACCAAACCCAGACACGTCCATCGGATTGCCAGACAGAGAAGCGCGATTGGTCACTCCAGAGAACACTACTCCAGAGTCCAGTGGCAGTGTGCTTTACAACACGGCATCCCACGCTTTGCATTGGACTTGGTGATGTAAGGCAAGAAAGCAGCAGCTCGGCCATGGAAACCGATTCCATGAAGCTCTACGCACGGTTGTGCCAATGTAAAGGCCACACGAAGTTTGGAGGTCTGTAGCTATTGACTGCAGACAGTTGGCGACTTATGCGCACTGTACGCTTCAGCAAGCGCTGACCCTGCTCTGTAATTTTATGTGAGTTGCTGTTCCCAGTTACTTCCACTTTGTTATAATACCAGTAACAGACCGTGAAATATTTAGTAGCAAGGAAATTTCTCCTGAGAGCGACCCATTCTTTCACAAATGTTTATAGAAGCGTCTGCATGCCGAGGTGCGTGATTTTATACACCTGTGGCTAGGGATGCACTGATACCGGTATTTTGGTACTGAGTACCGATACATTTTTTCGGTACTCACGGATACCAATTACCGAGTAACAAAAGTCGGGCGGCCGGCCAATCAGGAAGCCGGGCGCCTAGTAATGATGCGACGCCCTGCTTTCTGATTGGCAGGAAAGCTGGTTTCATGCTCCCTCGTCATCTCATGAGGTGACGAGAGAGGAGCCACTTCCCGGCCAATCGGGAAACCGGGCAGCGCGTTATTACACTTCCTGATACCAGAAGTACTCGTGCTAGGCATCGGAGCATTTGGGTGAGTACGAGTACTCACCCAAATACTCGGAATCGGCACCGTTATCGATACTAGTATCGCTATCGGTGCATCCCTACCTGTGGCCATGTAGGTGATTGGAACACCTGAATCCAATGATTTGGAGGGGTGTCCCAATACTTTTGGCAATATAGTGTATATGCTTGACCTGCCATCAAGTCCTGAGTCCTTGCGATAATCGTACGATTGTCGCAAGGTGTGTGGAAGGCGTGCGACAGTTTCTACTGTATGGTCGCACGACTTTTGTCTATCGAGCATGTTCGAAAACCAGCTGAGAATCTTACGATTTTCGGCTGGTTTGTAGCGTGATCGTGAGATAACTGCCGCACGGGCCGGTGTGCGCAAGCGCACACTGCCCGTTCAGCATTGCGGTCTTCGGAAGCCCGCCCCTCAGCGGGGCGGACTTGCGATTATCGCAAGTACGATCTGCCTGTCCAAGATGGGCAGGTCGTACGTTTTTGTTTAATTACCTTACAACCATCGCAAGACAAAAGTCTTGCGATGGTTGTAAGGTGTGTGGCCAGCTTTACACAGCTCAGCCCTATCTGGCAGGGCAAGGGATTTGTTTTTTGTTATTTTCTTTGATTCAAGTTAAAGGAGAACTATGGAGGTCAGTGTTTTTCCCCATAGTTCTCCTTAGGGTAACGGGAGGACACAAACTAGCGTCCTCCCGTTACCCTAAGCTCAGTATACCGCGAGCTGTATACTGAGACGCCGGAGCGGATCCCGACATGGACGTCGGGATCCGCCCAGCTGCGTGAGTGACAGCTGGCTCTGCCTATCTAGAGGCAGAGCCAGCTGTACCCGCCCCCTCCCCCGTCCGTTCCGCCAGTCAGCGCTGGCAGATCAAAGTGGGGAGAGGGGCATCTAGCCCCTCCCCCTGTCACGGCAGAGAGCCGTGACAGGATCGAGAGGTGAGCGAACCCGGTATGTGTTCACTCACTTCCCGATCTACTGAGCCGACCTGTGACAGTCTCATTGTCACAGGTCGGCTAGAACTATGAGGTGAGTGAAAATCACTCATCTCATAGTTCTCCTTTAAGGAATTAAAAAATTGCACTAGTGCTACCCTTGCATTGCAAAGTATAAGTGCTTGTTTTGTCAAGGGGGCTCAAATAGAGCAGACTAGTCACCTGATCCTTGGTCCCTCAGGGCTGCTAGATCAGTCCCAGCTACCTCTTCTCCCCTGGGCTCTGGTGGTCTACGGACCAGAACAGATCGGCATCGCAGATGGTATGTGCAGGAGAACCGATCTGCCCTGGAACAGCTGATCGGTCCTGAAATCTCACTTCTATCCGACTTTGTGAGTTCAATACAAAGTTGGATAAAAGTGAGATTTTAGGACCGATCAGCTGTTCCAGGGCAGATCGGTTCTCCTGCACATACTATCTGCGATGCCGATCTGTCCTGGAACAGCGGAAAAAGCTTTGAATTCTACACCTTTTGCCAGTCGCACATTTTTACCCCAGAAAAAAAATGGGTGTGACTACGTTAGAATGTGTGACCACGTGACTGGTCACACATTCCACCGCTGAAAAAATAGGTGTGATTACATTAGAATGTGTGATCACGTCACTGGTCACACATTCTAACGCAGTCACAATCTTTGATAGAACATGAGCTCACAGCCTTCACAGAGCTCTAAATACACAATCCCCTCTCAAAATCTACCCAATCCCTCGGACCTATTGAACACACCCTCTGATAAACTCCACCACCTCTACTCCTGCTGCCATTATGAAAAAGGCTTCTATATTTCTTGACCTTAAAGGCATAGTCCACCATTTGCAAAAAATGATTAGTAAGTGCGCACACATTGATGATGGAAAAAAAATGTGTATTTATTATTTTTTGCATTGGCGCTTGCAGAGCAATGCATCCGTGATTAGTGGATGGATGCTGTATTGCTCAGACTCCTGCAGACTGTTCCTCCAGGTGGTATTAGCCTTTAAGAGAGGAGAAGAAGCTTCAAGCATTTGTCGTTGTCATATTTTGTTTGCTACTTGATAAATCCATTGTTATGGAGGCTCTTTAGAGTAATAGATGACATCTGACCTTTTGACAATCTGAAAATATGCTGTATGACATCTTGTTGTAGTAATCTGCTTTTGTTTCATCAATAAAATCTTATTGCTAAAAAAAAAAAAAAGAGAGAAGAATCTGGTTCCCTGGGCCTACTGTCACTGCAGAGCCACACAAGCAGAGAACTGCAGGAGGCTGCTAGTATTACCAATGGTGTTCATAGGACACTTTCCTAAAGCTGTACCCCACACCACTCGCTCGCTGACTGTCCCCTCTGCAGGAACTGTCAGGCAGGAGATCACGGGGCTGCCAACAGAGAGGAAGACTGATATGCTTCATTTTTCCAGACACATAGCACCACAAAGCACAGCTATTCCTTGTGGTGCAGAGGCGCTGCATGGTTTTGTTAGGGCACAATATTAAATAATAATGCCGCTACATCGCACTCCGGGGGCGCACTTATGGTTTGTTGCGGTAGCCTTTTAATCCAGATTGAATGACAGGTTCTCTTTAGTGATATATGTCTTAGCATAGCTTCTGACATTTCAAAATAATTAGGAGGGTCACCTAGGAGGAAGCATGCTCACCACCAGACACATGGCGGTGTTTACAAAAGTGCGGCCAGTGAAGTGTGTGGCTTTCCAGTGTATTGTATAGCTTTGGGGGTAAGCAATCTTGGCGAAACTACAAATACCGTCACGCCCTTGCCTCTGGGAGTTATGCCAATGGCTTCAGAATCTTGCCATGCTTAATGGGACTTGTAGTCCTACACCAGCTGGAGAGCTGAAGATGCCTAATCCTGGTATAGCGTGTAGTGTCGTAGCTTCAGAAGGAAGTCAACAATGGCAACACCCCGTATTTTTGTCGGAGCATGTCTCCTTTAAGCTGCCCAGTTGTCATATTTTGCCTACTGCTTACATTGCATTAGCTTGCACAGGTAAACTGCGTACGAAGCCCGCCCATGTTTACTGCTGGCACGTATCACGCCGCAACTCCGGGCGGAAGTAAACCTTTTCCCCTGCAGCTCGCTGATTGGCTGAACCGATCCCTCGCTCTGAATTGGCCTGAGCCGCTGATATCCCATAATGCGCCGCGAAGCTTCTTCCTTTTCCTTTCGGCCATTTTCCCCCCGTAGAGGTATGTTGGAGAGATTCTCGGCCTTATTCGGAGTTATCCGCCTCCATCCTTCTCCTACGCTGCTCTTACCGGGACGGTGTCGCTGGGGTGTTGACGCCGGCTCTCCTGGAAGGGTTCTGGAGGGTTTATTTTTGGGGATTGGCCCGGGTTTGATGTGTTTGTGGAAGGTTCCCCGGTACCATGGAGCTGCTGGCCGGCAGTGTGGTGTATGGCTTGTGCAATGGGAGCCGGGGCGGGTATGGCAAATGTGCTGTGACAGCTACTATGGGGCCCCGGAGGTCGTGTGGGGCCCCAGTCACAGGGAATGTGTATCCTTCTTCATGTATGTATTTATATTGAAGGCCTAAATATGTTAGTCTTAGTTCCTAGCCTGAGAGCCCAGGTCCATCTGTCCCCCTTTCCTCCACAATAGTCCATGTCCTAATCTGCCCATGCACGATGCAATCTGCAGCTGCAATCCCTCTTAAAGGGGAAGTAAGCTCTACATAGCCACCGTAATCCCTTGTTATAGTCGGCCCCATACTGATCTATCTTCTTCCCCATGCTGGTATATTGCTGTGTTACGGATATTTGCAATGTTGCCTGTGCTTGCTTGCTCTCATTCCTGGCTTCCATAGCCATGCTAAGGCCAGTAGGGCCCCTTGGCGATATGTGACCTCCCATCTCCAGCATGGCGCTCTCCGGTGATCTTGGTGTCACTGGGCACCAGCTAAAGTGGGCTGCGCATGTGCAAGGTTTTAGTATGACGTCCTATGAGGGCAGAAGCAGAGTTTTGGGCAGGAAGGCTTTGAAGATGGCGCTGGCTTTAGCGGGGGAGTGGGGGGGCCAACATTGAACCGCTAAGTTCTAGCCATACATGTTAAATGCGGCCTGTCGTGATATCGGCGGCTTGTCAGAACTCAGGCTCCCATCTGGTGTATGGCAACGCCAAACTTCTCAAGGTGAGCAAAGTCTTGGAGCAGAACCTCTTGTTTGGGAGCATGCGTTGCTTCCATGGTCAGTGGTGGCTTTCTCGGCTGTGACAGGTACCTGCATTCTGGCCGGTTCCCATGAAGTGGTCTTATTCTGTTTTGCTGTGGGCAGCAGCCATATTTGGCGCAACATTCGTAGCTGTGCGGATATTTTCCTTTGTAGATGGTAGGGATGCACAGATACCAGTTTTTCGGTAAAGTACCGATATTTTTTCTTTATCGGTACTCGCCGATACTAGAAGCCGGGAGGTGTGTAATGACTCGCTTCCGGGAAGCCGTCTCGATACTCCATCACTAGGTGAGGAGGAAGCATGGAGCCGGCTTTCTGGCCGATGAGGGAGGCTGGTAATGACTCGCTTCCTGATGTTCAACCTTCCCGACAAATCAGGATCCCAGGTGATGAGTCATTACATGGCTGCCTGATTGGCCAGAAAGCCGGATCCATGCTTCTTTCGTCACCAGGTGACGGAGCATGAAGCCGGCTTTCTGGCCAATCAAGAAGCCAGCTCCCTGGTGACGAGGGAGCGTGTGGCCAGCTTCCCGGCCAATCAGGAAGCCGGGCACTGTGTAATGACCCTCCACCTGTCTTCCTGATACCAGAAGATCTGGTATCGGGATAGGCATCAGGAGCATTTGGACGCGTAAGAGTACTCGCCCAAATACAAGGTACGGATACTAGTCCCGGAGCATCCCTAGTAAATGGCTCTGGAATAGGTCAGTTTTGGTTACCTTTGCCGCCATTAATAGTCCTATTAATGAATTTCTGTTTTTCCTTCCTCAGGGATTAAGCAGCCATGGCCCCCAGCAGGAATGGCATGATCTTGAAGCCTCATTTCCACAAGGACTGGCAGAGACGAGTGGCCACTTGGTTTAACCAGCCCGCCAGGAAGATCCGCAGGCAAGTCCTATTTTCTTTTGTATAATTGATGATTTGTGCAAGGTGTCTTCCTGCAGCCGGTGATGACAACTTCTCCGGAATCTCTGCTTGTCTGTGATGATTCTATATTTGAACCCTTTTCCAGCTGATGGCTGCAGGACCTTGCTTGTACCGAGCCTTTAGTTATAATGTATATAATTCTCCCTGTACGTTGCAATGGTCAGTGGGAGCGAAAACTTTCAGATAAAACACAATTGGGGGGATTTACATAAACTGAAACACACAATCTGTAGAAGCTGTGCATAGTAACCAATCGGTTTCCATTTTCAGTTCAGTTAAGATTTGACAATGAAAGGTAGAAGCTGATTGGTTGCCATGCACGGCTGCTCCAGATTCTTCCTGATCCAGTTTTGGTAAATTTCCCTCAATTTTTACTTTACAGTAGAGGAGGTTTGTCTTAAGTGTATGCGATCTGAACTGTCCAACTCTCCACACACAGGCGAAAGATACGTCAGGCCAAAGCACGACTGATCGCACCAAGACCTGTTGCAGGACCCGTCAGGCCGGTGGTAAGATGTCCCACTGTCAGATATCACACCAAGATTCGAGCTGGTAGAGGCTTCAGCCTGGAGGAGCTTAAGGTGAGCATTTTAAATCATTGAACTGTGATTGGTGTTTGCTATTCCTCAGGGACTTGAGATTTGTTTAGGCTGCGTTCACCCTGTTCTACATGTTACATTGTGGTTTATGGTCCAAATTCAATACCTCTGTCAGGGCACGTAGGGGTGCAGCTGACAGCAGCAGAGGGGAATTCCTAATTCCCCTCTGCTGCACATCCACATGTTACCATGCACCTGGCATTCAATGCATACATCACATAATGTGTGCAGACTCTGGTGGTGGAGGGGGGAGGGAAAATGCTATCAAATTATTTTTTTTTCCCCTCAACACATTAAAGGAGAATTATGAGGAGAACTATAACGCAGGTTGCTACAGCTCGCGGTATACTGAGCCTAGGGTGACGGGAGGACGCTAGTTTGTGTCCCGTTACCCTATGGAGAACTATATGGGGAAAAGCCTTAACCCCATAGTTCTCCTTTTAACCCCCCCCCCCAAAAAAAAAGTTATGAAGTGTGTGAATTGGTCCTTTAACCCCTTCATGACTGAGGCCCTCAGCAGGGCGGGCTTTCGATGATCGCAAGTACGATCTGCCTGTCCAAGATGGGCAGATCGTACAAGCTTTTAATAAGCTACAAAACCTGCTCAGCCTGATCACATGTGAAATGGATTTCTTGTTGGAAATTGCTGTTGTCTTATAGCCCACATGTGCAGCCCGGACTCTTCACCAAGCGATCCAAAGAATAGCGCAGTGCTGGGCCCACAGTTTATTTGCCTTTTTGTTTTTCCATATTCCTGTCCAGTCAACTAAATTTATTTTTTTATTTGGATCTTCAGCCAAAACTTTGGATTGTTGTATAGGTTTAAAATATTTGCCTGTGTCCCTGTTGGAGGTTGTCCCTTGAATTCCTATCCCTTTGTGCTTTTTTTGTAGGGATGGAAATGCAGCAGTGAAACTTTAATAGGCCTGCAACTAATGTTTTCATAAGCTATTGGTCGATTTTTTTTTTTTTTTTTTTTTTTTTTTTTTTTTTTTTACTTTAGAATAAAACTGCATGCACAATTTTTTTGCAGTCGCGCTGCACTGGAATGCATGGTACTGCCCTTTTCCCAGCGTGGAGAGAGCTAGGGGATTTAAACAACTAATCGATGTAATAGTTGACAACTATTCTCATAATTGATTAGTTGCAGCCCTGAAATTCAATAGTGCAAAATTTCCTAACAAGGGCCGAAGATTGCGTTTTAAAACTATCTGGAACAAACTATTAGTTTCACTTAAAGGTTTCTGGAATGGTTAACTTAATGTTCTTGCTAGTACATGGCTTAGCCCACCTATTACTCATAATTCAGCTCTGGGTGTATGCTTGTGGTTTAAGGGCCAGTTCAAACCACAAAGACTGCATTCCAGAGCGTTCGGCCCCTGAAACGCACTGGAACACAAACCCAGATGGCTCCCTGTGTTCGTGGGTGTTGCAGTGCATTAAAGCCAATGGCACTGCAGCCACACCCACAGTCGATCTCCCGAATGGATGGTACATTAATGCCTGCGTTCCGGTCCAGTGCGATCTGCAAAAATGCTGCATGCTCTATTGGACACCTACACACTAAATCGATACTGGGACATGTTCTAAACAGCATGAGAGCTGCAAGTTGAAAGCAGGACAAAAGGGAGTGTAACAACTTGTCTTGGGATCTGAACTGCAGACTACCTCCTGAAAATGCTCGGTGCCTGGCTTTGTCATTTCTATAAACACTGAGCCAGTAATGCAGAACAAGCATGCAGTGGGTGAGACTGGAGAAAACAAGCTTTCATTCTGTATGTCTGTCAGGGGCTCAAGGTGTTGGTCAGGAGGCCAGTATTTCCATAAGGGGAGGTCTGCGGTCGCTCATGTGTTTCTCTGGACAGGTTTCCTTTAACCACCTTTCGTCCATGGCCGTTCGTGAACTGCCGGACGGAAGTCTGCTCAGAGCGGGTGGGCGTCTTAAGACGTCCTGCCCCTCCCCCTCTCTCGTGCGCGCGCTGAGCGCCGCACACGAGAGGGAAAACTGTTAGCATGTAAACAGCCAGCGATGGCTGTTTACATACAAGCGATCAGGCGTCTCTAGAGCTAAAAATTACAGCATTAAAAAAACATAAAGAAGCTAAAAAAATTTTAAAAAAATAACACAATTTTTTTTAAAGTCCCCCGCCCCCCACATACACACTCAAACATGCGTCGGGTGCGCCTATGTACGAAACAGACGATTGCGCCCATTATGCAGCACATGTTACATAACGTCGCAGTGAGAACAATAATTCTAGGGCCATCAATCACGGATAACACTAAACTGATGAGCTGTAAAAGCGTTTAAAGCGTCACCTATGGCCAATTTTGGCTGCGGTCGTTTTCTGCGATTTCGCGGGCGTGCACAATTTTAAAGGTTGACATGTTTAGTGTCTATTTACCCGACGTGACCCCGTCTTTTATATTGTACCAAAAAATTGGGGTAAAAATAAATGTTTAATAAAATTTTATAGGGAAACATGTTTTTTTTCAAAATTTATGGTACTTTTTTTGTTATATAGTAAAGAATAAAACCCCCAGTGGTGAATAAAAGCCACCAAAAGAAAGCTCTATCTGTCCCCAAAAAATGGTATGAAAATCGTTTCAGTAAAGTGTTGTATGACAGAATAAACATCAGTCAAAGTACCGCAGCGCTGAACACTGAAAAATGGCCTGGCCAGGCAGGGGGTGAAACACTATGGCCTTTTAAGTGGTTAAATGGTATACTTGGTCAACCTTATTCTGCTTATTAGTAAATGTAAGCCATGTGATGACAATTTCTCCGGAATCTCTGAACATCTGTGACGATTCCCTTGAACCCCTTTATTCTGATGGCTGCCTGACACTTGTTTTAGTTTATTTTTATATCCTTGTATCCGGTTTCATAAAACGTGTCTGGTTCCCCTGCAGGCTGCTGGCATCAACAAGAAAGTTGCCCGCACCATTGGCATCGCTGTGGACAAACGCCGTCGTAACAAGTCTACAGAATCCCTGCAGACCAATGTGCAAAGGCTGAAGGAGTACCGCTCCAAACTGATCATCTTCCCACGCAAACCCTCCGCTCCTAAGAAGGGAGACAGCTCTGTAAGTAATGGACAGGTCATGGCTTGTCACCTATGTTCTCTTAAAGTAACCAGTGCTTTCCCCTGCCGCTCTCTTTATATGCTGGGAGCTGGAGATCTTAGTCATGCTGCATATATTAGAGTTGCGGTTAGGTAGTTGAATGGTACACAAAGATTGGTGAGAGTTAGATGTGGCACAGCTGAAACTTGTGGTTATATAGCCGCACATGAGAATTCGTTTTAGCTTACTGGCTCAATCAGATGAACTGCGTAGTGGAGTCCGGCAGAACTGGTCATTGACCTCATAGAAAACCATAAAATGTGATCAATGCAAATGCAGGAGTTTTATCATTGTGGTGTTTTGACTGCTGTAATCAGACATTCACGTTTTATAAATGGGGGTTATTTATACAGTCAGATGATGACCCTTTCTATGGAATCTCTGTATTCCCGTGATGACTTTTGAACCCTTCTTTCTGATGACTGTATATTGGCCCTATATTGTCCTGTATGTGCAGTGAATGAAGTATACAGATCTGTTCTGTTTTGTTTTAACTTGTTTTTTGTTTTTTTAGGCTGAAGAGTTGAAGATGGCCACCCAGCTGAAGGGCACTATCATGCCAATCCGCCAAGTAAGTTCTGTAAAAATAGATATTTGGGTGCATGTAGCTCCCCATCTTTAGCCCACTTATTTTTTTTTTTCAAGAGAATAACTTGACTTGGGATTCTTCAATAAGTATACTTTCAAACTTTTGCCCTCTCCAGATGTGTTCTTGCCTTGATTCCACGGTCTCCGGTATTTGACTGTGCATACCGAAAAACTGTGTGCTTGGCCACGCCTGTGTAGTAGCTTTCTATAGACTTCTATAAGGCCATGTCCCGAGTCTCTGGCCTTGGCACACTGAGTCATAGAAATATTAAGATTTTCTTTATAGATGGATAAGGCATCAAGTTTAGTATGCATTGGCAGAGAGGGTAGTGTAGGTCCGCAGAAGACAAAGATGAAAAAGTGCACTTATTCTTTAAAAACATAATTTAATTATTGTCCTTTTTTTCGGTAGTGCTATACATTGTTTCCTTTGGCTATTATTAGACTTATTACCAACATAATTTGCCTTCCTTATATGACTTGATATGTTGAAAATGTTGCCTCGTTTTTGTTTTTTTTTTGGTCCCATTGCTGTTGTCTGCCAACATGCACCACCAATTGATGTGCGTCTTTGAGGTCTCTATTTACATACACAGTGAAGTCCAGAGCTTGTGGTTGGGTAGCCTGGAATGCACTCCACACTTGGCAATTAAATCACTTGCTTTAAATGTTTGTAAAATAGTAAGCATGTTGCTCACTGCAGACAAGGGCTATGTTTCACATAGCCTTTGGCTCTCCAACTGTTGATGATGAACCCAGAGCTCTATGTCATACAATAGAGCCCTTCTAAAAGTGAGAAAATGTTGCATTCCTGCAGGCTCTCTGTAGCTTTTGCATTCTAGGTTGTGGAGAGTAGGGATGAGGTTCAGACTGATGAGGGAAGCTTCCGCTGCTGCCCAATAAACTGCGACAAGGCAACTTCCTGGCTGCAGCTGTGCGTAAGCAATGGTGTGGGATGCAGAGATGTCATTGAACATGTATGACCACATGGCTATATTTAGTCAATGGCATCGACCTAATGTGGCCATACAGGGTAAATTGCATCAACACGAGTATCCTGCCACTTTATGTGCAACTGCAGTGCGAGGAATACCCTGGCTTGCAGCTGATTGGGTGGGTGACCCATGGCACCTGCGTGTTCAGAATAACTTCCAAACCTGAGCTCATCCCTGGTGGAGAGTAGCAACTAAAGCATTTGTTCTCAGGTTAGAGGAATTGCTTGATTTGTGGTGGTCTCATATGACTATATTCATAACTCTGCCCTGTGCTCTTAAGAGTAATTCTGTCACCAGCAAAGGGGTGTGGGGGCATTTATTGGATCAGACTGACAATTCCTACTAGGGCTGCAACAACTAATCGACATAATCGATTATAATCGATTATTGAAAAAGTTGTCAACTTTTTCAATAATCGATTAATCGGCTTCCGATCAGTTGGCCCTGTTCA